TAAACATTTCAGAGATTTTTCAGTAAATGCTTGACTTTTCAGACAGAAATGTTCTTGTTTTTCTTGAATGTGTCAGAGGGTTTTTGACAATGAGAACTCCACAATGGCCCGCCATGAGAATGAGATTAAACTTCAAAATGAGACTTAAAGTTTTTAGGGGTCATTACTGACCTTATACTCACATTAGGTTTTGGAAAAATAATTACTTTTTGGAGTATTTTTACTGAAGTAATATCAAGTGTTAGATAAATACAACTGATAGAAATGTGTGGATGATTTTGATATTTTATGGTGCAGAAGAGGATTTTTCTTTCTGCCAAAGCAACTCAAGTCAGTTTTTCTTTTATTACGCTTCTAAGTTATGAAGAACCCAAAAATGTTAATGTACTCAGCACTCGTAGTAAATAACTGCTTAGTTCTTTGGTTTCCAGGTGTTTGATCTCATTGTAAAGCTGAGATACTTTCAGAATCTGTAAATAACTCACAATGTGTGATTTGCACGCCAGCATCACTATTCTTATATTTAAATGGGATAAGGTTTGAGATGTTCTGTGATGTTCCAGTGATGTTCTGTTCTCAGATGGGAAAAGGCTCCTTCAAGTACGCCTGGGTGTTGGACAAACTGAAGGCCGAGCGTGAGCGTGGCATCACCATCGACATCGCTCTGTGGAAGTTTGAGACCAGCAAGTACTACGTGACCATCATTGATGCTCCAGGACACAGGGACTTCATCAAGAACATGATCACTGGTACCTCCCAGGTAAGAACCCACCGTGCCAGCGTCATGCTGAGACATACTGAGAGTAGACCCTGCACTGGCAGATAACACTGAGTCTACTCCAAGATGGCCGCCCTAACTGGCCAAAGCAGTCCATGCAGATTCTATGCTTATTATGTCTGTGGCTTCCTGTGTTTGGAATATGGAAACCTAAAGTGAATGTGTCTTTCCAGGCTGACTGCGCCGTCCTGATCGTTGCTGCTGGTGTTGGTGAGTTTGAGGCCGGTATTTCCAAGAACGGGCAGACCCGTGAGCACGCCCTGCTGGCCTACACTCTGGGCGTCAAGCAGCTCATCGTCGGCGTCAACAAGATGGACTCCACCGAGCCTCCTTACAGCCAGAAGAGATTCGAGGAGATCACCAAGGAAGTGAGCGCCTACATCAAGAAGATCGGCTACAACCCCGCCACCGTCGCCTTCGTCCCCATCTCTGGATGGCATGGAGACAACATGCTGGAGGCCAGCGACAAGGTCAGGCGCAGAGTCAAAATCAGACTAATTCTCATTGCGGTCATGTGAACCAAATCCTTTTTTCTACTTGAAGATGAGCTGGTTCAAAGGTTGGAAGATTGAGCGTAAAGAGGGCGGAGCTACAGGCGTGACCCTGCTGGAGGCCCTGGACTCCATCATGCCGCCGTCCCGACCCACCGACAAGCCCCTCCGTCTGCCGCTGCAGGACGTCTACAAGATCGGCGGTGAGTGGAAGCGCTACAGCTAATAACAGAGATTAGGTTTTTTTAGCGCTTCCACTAATCTAGGTTCATTTAAACAACAACAAATTTGACACCATTGAAGGCATTTTACTGTGTCATAATATTTGTTCATTTAAATGTAGTGGATGTAGCACTTTAGCATTAGCTTCAGCTAAATACCATGTTGGTATAATTCCTTAGCCACAGGAAACGAATGTTTATGATTAGCAGTTCAGAGTTCTAACGTTTTAGTCAGTTTGTCCACCTCTATATATATAAATGCATGTCAGGAAGTATTCACACCCCAGACCACATTTATTCTAAGCCGAGTTTAGAGTGAAATAAACATAAAAAGCAGCTTATAATGTCAAGATGAAATAATATTTTCAGACATTCTGTAGATTTCTGCTCACATCTCTCTGTCTCTCAGGTATTGGAACCGTCCCGGTGGGCCGAGTCGAGACCGGCATCCTGAAGCCCGGCATGGTGGTCACCTTCGCTCCCCCCAACCTGACCACCGAGGTGAAGTCTGTGGAGATGCACCACGAGTCTCTGCCCGAAGCTCTGCCCGGCGACAACGTCGGCTTCAACGTGAAGAACGTCTCCGTCAAGGAGATCCGCCGCGGCAACGTGGCCGGAGACAGCAAGAACGACCCGCCTCTGGCTGCGGAGAACTTCACCGCTCAGGTGAGCCGCAGAACCCGTCTGCTGCACAAACAGAACCAGAACCTTTGATCAGATGCGGCCAATCTGCTGCGTTGTTCACTATTACTTGCACTCAAGTAATCGTAAAAAGATATTTGGTGAAAAGTCGACTGAGTTGCTGATCAAATTATAAATCATTTAGTATTTAGAGACCAAATAACATAATTAGAAAATAACTACAACATAAAACTGCAGGTGAATTTGTGGCTCAAAGCAGCTCACAGTGGATAAAAACAGTTACTTCAGTAAATGTATCTAGTTACGACTCTGACACTGAGTGATTCCCGTTTGTTTGGCTCCTCTTGCAGGTGATCATCCTGAACCACCCGGGCCAGATCGCCCAGGGTTACGCCCCGGTTCTGGACTGCCACACCGCTCACATCGCCTGCAAGTTCAGCGAGCTGAAGGAGAAGATCGACCGCCGCTCCGGCAAGAAGCTGGAGGACAACCCCAAGGCCCTGAAGTCCGGCGACGCCGCCATCATCACCATGGTGCCTGGGAAACCCATGTGTGTGGAGAGCTTCTCCCAGTACCCCCCACTGGGTGAGTCAGCCCCTCCACTGGGGGTCGGTTTCACACACTGGTCAAGTAACTTTATTGAAAATTCAGGTGGAATCGGCGACACTGATCTGGTAGATCTAAAAACAAATGGTGTCATGAAAATTTTGGCTTCATAAAGAATCCAATGTGGCGATGCACTGATATGAACATCTGGGCCAATATCGATATGCCATGTTACTATTTCTGTTATATAGCCAATATTTACCAACACTATCAAATATCAGCAGAGTTTGTAGTAAAAAAGACCAGAAACAGATGCTTCAAATCAGCCCAGTTTTATTTATTGATCCGATACCAATATGATAAAAAAAAATCACAAATTTTGGCCGATACCACTAGCCGGTTCCACCGGCACATCATTTTACTCATAACAAGACATTTCTTCCATGTTAAATAATCTGGCAGTTTAGCTGGTACTTTTTCATCAACATCAAATTATTATTGATTTTAAAAAGCTCCTATATCTGCAGCTATTGCTCAAAAGTTACTTCTAAGTTAGTTTTGTTTTATTTCAAGTGTACTAAGATATTTAGACTAGAAACTAAACCAACAGTAGTTGGTTAGATTTTGTGTTTCTGCAGTGTTTAATTAGCAGCAGCATTACGTTCCTACTTACCACCAGGCGGAAGAAAAAGTAGTTCCCTTCAACCCGTCTCACTAAGAAAAGATCTAAATCTTTTTGTTACTTTCTAACAAAGATAAATGATCTCAGATGACCGAATATTGAAAGTATTGATCCCTGGACTGAAGAATCGATAGTTCGGTATCAGTCCACACATCACTGGTGGCGTTTCTTTGGCTCTCAGGTCGCTTCGCCGTCCGCGACATGAGGCAGACGGTGGCCGTGGGCGTCATCAAGACGGTGGAGAAGAAGGCTCCGTCCGGCGGAAAGGTCACCAAGTCTGCACAGAAGGCCGACAAGAAGAAATGAATCTTCATGCAGGACGTCCAGCAGAAAGCCGCGGCTCCTCCTCATCCTCGCCAGCCGTCTTCCTCTCTGAGGCTCAGATCTTTTCTCAAGGACTGGATTATGCTGATTAAAGCCCATCGCAAAAGTTTCCGCAGGAAAGGAGGCTTCAACTGGAAGCTCCGGTGTTAACTAAGATGAAGCCAAAACAATAAAAATATCACAGAGTCAAACACACTTCTCCTGTTTTTATGTGCTTTTTCTCTTCTATCTGTTTACGGCTAAATATTTAGCTCGCAAACGCAACTTTGGTTCAAAACTAAATAAACTAAAATATAACTTGCAAGATAGTTATTTAATTTGGAGTTAAATATTTTGTTTAAGCTAAACACTTAGCTTTCTAATTAGCTTTAGTTCAGAGTTAAATATGAAGTTTGAAAACTAAATATTTACTTTGCTAATTACATAATTAATGTTTGGAATATTAGATATATAATTTATATTTAAATATGAAACTGTTTAAATGTTTAGTTTAAAACAAAATACTTATTCATTTAGTTTTGGCTAACTAGTTGAGAGCTAAATATTTAGTTTGTTTTGGAGCATAGATTTGGCTGAAAGCTAAATTCTTAGTTTGTAAACCAAAGATCACGCTTGCTAATTAAAATCTTTTATTTGAAATGACAACGTCCACAAAAAATTAATAATGTGGTGAAAATGCGACATTGAGAAATAAACCCTGTATTTTCTCCTATTACTGGCTGAATGTTGTTCTTCACCTTTGATTTGCAATCAGCAACTCTGTGTACAAAAAATTTTAATTTCTATTTCTTATTTTGATTTTGAGTCTAAAACAATGAAATGAAACCAAATTCAAATCAAAAAGTTTTTTTCTTAATTTAATGTGAGAAAAGTCAGGAAAGTAACCAAGAATTTGGCAAAATGGGAATTTATCTCTAAATCTAATCAAGTTATTTTTTTCCTGCCACAATTTGTTAGATTTGGGAAATTTTGTTGCTCAACCATTGAAACTGTAAAAACTAACCAATTATTATTCATTGTTTAGAGTGAAAGAAAAGCCTGTCGACATGAATGTTAAAATAAATATGAATGGGCATAAACTTTTCCACAAGAATCTTTATTTTAATCATAAAGCAATACAGCATATTTTCCACAGAATGATTTTCATGTTTGGCACTTCAGTGTTTCCGTACACTATAGTAACTGTTTTTTTTTTTTTTTTTTTTTTTTTTTTACTATAAAGACAGTTGTGATGTTTCCTGTTAGATGAAACTGAAAGCAAATCTGCTCTTCCAGCCAATCCCAGCAGAGCTCAGGTTCTGCTGAGGCAGGTTCGGCTCGGTTCCGGTTTCGGGTCAGAGACACAGCATTTTCTCAGCAGGACCAGAACCAGGTGAGTGATGCTGCCCTGTTTTCATTCATTAGTTCTGTTGAATGCAAACCTGATGTTCTGGGGTTTATAATAATTTTAATGGTTTCTAATGAATCATCCGATGGTTCGACTGGTTTTAACTGGTCCATAAAGTCCAACTGGGCCAGCTGGATGTTCTGGAGTTCAGCTGTTTAGTTAATTATCTAGAAATAATTTCCGTGTTGAGGTTGACTTTATTTAAAAAGCAGGTCATTTAAACAACATGTTTTACAAGCAGAGTCATAAAACGTTCATCATGTGATCCGAACTCAACACAATCCGTTCAGTTCTTTTTTCTTTCACAGTTTTATACATTTCTACATCCAAAAAATAAAAAAGTAAATAAACAGGAAAACTTCCTTTTCCCAACTCATTTGAATGTTTGAATTCAGGGAACGTTCCGGGATTAAAGAGCCGAACGTCTCATTGTGTCACATCGTTCCTGCGAACGCATTTTACTGCCGGCTGGCCTTTATGTACAGTCAAATTAAAAACAACATGAATTATTCAGTAGTTGCTGAATAAAGTAGAATATTTGAATCAAAGCTCAGTACTTTATTATTATTATTATTGTTGTTGTTTTTGTTATTATCATTATTATTATTCAGGGTTTTTATGACAAACCCACAGAAGTGATTCTGGAGATCTGGGTCGGACTCAGGTCCAGAGCTTGACTGGTTTGACCTGAAGAACTGGGATCTCTTTGTGTCAACTGGTAACTTTTCATTGAAGTGAACAGAAGTCACATGTAAGGGACCCCCCCCCTCCACCTCCCCCAGGGCTCCATCCCGCTGGGGTCACTGGGACCCCAGGGCTCCGTCCCGCTGGGGTCACTGGGACCCCAGGGCTCCGTCCCGGGGACCCCTTGTGTGTCGTTAACACAGAGGACACACAGCTCTACGTTACGATGTACCAGGTGACTCTGAACCCATTCAAGCACCAAACAGATGCTGAGAGCCAATCAGTTCCATGACTTTTTCCAGCTGAAAAGAAACTAAACTCAAGTTATTGTCTTGGGATGATCTAGAGTTATAGATCTAGAATCAACACACAGATTCAGTTCTTACAGCTGGAAACCAGAGATCAGCTGAAATCTGGGTTTGAACCTTCAAAGACACATAAAGACAGTTACAAAGTCAGTCTTTTATAATCTGAAGGGATTAAAGGACTAATGTCACAGCGAGGTCTGGATCGTTTATCTTTAGTTGCATCGATTATTGGACCTGTGTCTTCATAAGTCTGCAGGCGGCTGATCTAGAACGCTGCTGCTCGCAATCTCACTGCTGCCGGACGTTTTCTGCTTCCTCTGCAGATTTTTCTCTCTGAATTTTCATTTTAAGGCTGAAACGACTGAATGATGGACACAGAGGACAAACGGCCTGAGACCGTCTCTCCTGTGAGACGAAGGCCAAGAGTTCAGCAGCAAGACTCAGGTAAAACCGGAATCGTTTTCCGGCTTCAAACTACGACAGAAACCGAAGAACGGAGGAGTAAACTTCAGCCAAAAAACTGCAACATTCTGAGATTTTTCTCAGAAATTTTCCATAAAAATAGACATTTTCTGAATTTCAAATGTCAAAGTTTTCTAGAAAGAAACTCTGACTTTTCGAACTCAGAAATGTTCTTTTTTTTCTAGAAAATCCAGATATTTTTGGCATTAATTTACTCCTTTTTTCTACCTGCAATGTCCCTAACTTGGCGCTGTACTCATCACCGTCGCCCTGCAGTGGAAAGCTCCCTGTCGGTGGAGGAACCGGCTCCCATCCCTCCCGATCTGGCCCACCGGATCAAGCTGCGGGCCAAGGAGCTGAAGATCCGGCAGAAGGACCGGTCCTGGGCCGCCGAGGTGGTCAACGACTTCAAGGAGAACCTGCTGAGGTTCCTGAAGAACAGCAGCGACCAGCCGCTGTTCCAGTCGGCCGACTTCCTCACCACAGGAAGCTACTTCGAGAAGGTCAAGGTGAGGGGGAAACGGACCGGAACCGGCAGCGTTGTCTGCAGCAGTTTGACCCGGTGGGACCGCTCCGGTTCCACTGACTGGAACTGACAGTAACGAAAAACTTATTCTTCTGAGTGAAACTATCTGCCAATGAATTAAGGAATTATTGACTTCAAACAAACTCCTGCGTCTTGCTGAAGAGTCATTTGTAAATTAGTTTTGTTTCATATTCTAAAATACGTGGTAGGATTTTTTTCAGAATAACTGATAGGAGGAATAAAATTGTGTTGCCTGGTTTGGAAAGTAAATCCGGTCAGAGTTGGACTCTTTTCTCCTTCAGATCCACAACCCTGATGAGTTCGACATGATGCTGAAGCTTCTGGTTCCCTCTCGCTTCAACACCACCAAGCTGGACGCCGGCCTGTTCTACCGCATCGACCTGACCCGGCCCACGCGCACCCCCATCAAGGACTTCCTGCTGGACGACACGCTCACCCTGTCGTCCAGTAAAATCCTGGCAGAGATGTTCCGGCTCGTCCGCAAGTTCCTGAAGACCTACAGAGGTCTGTGGTTCTCCCCTACTCTACCGCGCCGACGCTAAAGGCTGAGCATCAGATTTTTGTTTCTGTTTGGGTTTTTTCTGCAGGGGGTTTGCTTGTTCTCCTCCAAACTGACTGTAGGTTCCAGTAGCTGTGTTTCTATTAACTTTAAAATTGTGCAAATTGAAAGTATGAAAATAAGTTTGCTTAACGGAAAAAATATATTTTTTTCTATCAAAAGTTTTTGGCATGTGGTGTTTTTTTTTCAGCCGTATTAAAATAGATTTATTTCAGAGAACTGCAATGGAAACAGTTTTCTCACATCAAATGAATCACATGATCAACGACCAGGTTTTACTACTGGCAGAAATGTTGAAGAAGACGACAGGAAGTGGATTGTTTGTTTTTGGACGTCTCTGCTTGGAGACGGATGTTTGAACTGTGAAGGTTCTGACTCTGGTTTCTCTCCTGTTCAGTCCTGGATCATCGCTGCCGCTGGGAGATGAACAGGAAGAAACCCAACTCTCCCGCCGTCACGCTGTCTCTGTGCCGGAGAGACAGCGGCGGGGAGGAGCTGATTTCTGTGGACGTCGTTCCAGCTCTGGAGGTAATCAACAAATCTGCTTCTTGAAAACATTTCAGAACAGAAAGTTCACTTTAATTTATCACATGATTAATTCATTACTGAGACAGGCTTACTTACTAGTAAACATTTTCCAAAGTGTGCATGATTATCTCTTCACTCCTTTATTAAAGAAGTTATTGTTCATAATTTGGTGGCAGATTGTTCAGCTTTATTGAACAAAATCTTAATAAGAGACAATTTGTCTTAAAACGTTCAAAGAGCAAGAATAGTTTTTAAACTGTTTTTAAATTGAGTTGTCTGTTAACTTATTCAATTCAGCTTTCCAGCAGGACAATCAGAGATATTATGGGATAAACTGAAGCAGATTTGTGGGTTAGAATGGCCTAGTCAAAGTCCAGACCTTAATGTAACTGCAGTTCTGTTTCCAAACATCAAAACACACCGCACTGTGCTGTTCAGTGTGGAATCGTGTTCATGACGGCTGAGTACCAGTTTCTGTGATGAGTTTGAACTGTTTGCTGCTGTTTGTGCGTGGAGGTCCAGCGCTGGCCCCCTGCGGTGAGAAACGGCCCAGAGGTGGACAGATGGCTGGGAACGAAGCTTCGGCAGGAAATCAGGAGCTTACCTTGTTACTTTGTTCCAAAAAGACAGAAAGGACGGAAACTGAGTGAAGACGCCAAAGGTCAGAAGAAGACATTTTATGTCATTACAAATTCAGATGTTTCCCTTTAGCACCATCTGGTGGTTTCAACTGGAAACACAATTTATTCACCTGACCTTTTTGGACAAGTTCACGTGTCTGGCCTCATGTTTATATTTTAACTTTTGTAAAAGAATAATTCAACTAGCTTGGGTCAAACCAGGGGTTCCCAAAGTGTGGCACCAGGCCATTTGTGGCACTTAACACAGTTTTTTGGGCCCAGCTGCAGCTCAAAAACAGTACAAATGTGGCGCTCTGGGGGGGACTTGTAATGTTTAGCATGAGAATTTCAATGACGTATTTAATTAATCTTTAATGTGTAGTAAAAAGTCTTACTCTTTTTCATTTTAATTTCATAGTAAGTAGGTCAATAAATGATTTTTTTATTCAAAAAGAAAGAATATACCACATTAATTAATTCTTCTATTAAACTTTGTTAAATACAATATTGGACTAAACATTTGGATTCAGTGAAAGAGTTAAATGTGCAAAGTGACATTAATCTGCATCCTGACCTCCATCATCTGCTTTTATGTGGGCTGTGTTTCAGAAAGCTGGAGGATTTCTTTCTCTCACATTGAGAAGAAAATCATCACGTCTCACGGCAACAAGAAGACCTGCTGTGAGAGCAGAGGCACCAAATGCTGCCGGTGAGTTCATCCTCAGATTCAGCCCACAACGTCTGGGAAATTATTTCATACAACTCTCTTAAAGGTCCCATACGAAAAGTATTAAAAACATTACTGTTGGCACATTTCTGCTTATTTACCTGCTTTTTGGAACAAACATGTGAAGACATGCAGCAGTATTGTACGTGTTTTAGAAATGAGATGAAATGTGAACGTTTCCCCACAGACTCCGGTCATTAGAGAAAATCGGCCCTGTTAGCAGCTCCAGATCTGCTGTCCACTCCTGACATCATTTAAGTTTAAGCTGCTCACAGAAAGCTGGGCTTTATCTCAGTGAACTAGCATGTTAGTCTCTTTCACAGTTTTTAAATAATCACAGTTGATGTGATCAAAGCAGCACAGATGATGTGACTCCAGATTCTGAGTCTGGGAAATATTTAGATTTTTTATGATTCAACCTACGATTAAGATTTCAGTTTAATATTCAATATTAATGTCCAAACGCAGATATTTCTGTCCAATCAGCGCCCAGTGCAGAGACACACACACACACACACACCTGATGTGTTTCACACAGTGACTGATTAAATTAAAACGCTCCTTATTTCTGTTTGGCTGTCTGACTTCTCCCGCCCTGCATCACCATGGCAACCGATGACTCAGCATCTCTGTGCTCAGCTTGTTGTTTACGTGTGAAAACCGTCTAAACCATTAAGAACAATCATTTTTGTTCTTCAAAGATTGAATTTTCTCTTTGCTGATTTATTGATCTGTCGCTGCTCTTCAGAAATGTTCTGTTTCCTCCTGTTTGAGCTGCAAGGATTGATCTGCCTCTTTGTTTCCCAGCAAACAGTGCCTCATGCTGCTGAAGTCTCTCATTGAGGGTCTGAAACAGCGCTATCCCAAAGAGTTGGAGGATCTGTGCTCGTACCACGGCAAGACGGCCTTCCTGCACACGCTGTCCACCAGGTGCTGACCAGACACATCAGTCCAGGGTTAAACCCAAACACTGCGGCTGCATAAAGCATTCCTTCTCTTTGATTATTACACTTTTGTATATGAAACAATCTGAAAAGTGTGGTGTGCATTTATTTTCAAAATTAAAATTATTTTCAAGCTTTCCCATGTCGAGACTTTCAATTTGTCTTAAAAATGTGTCCAAGACATTTAAATTTTTTTTAGATATTTCTGACACTTTTCATAATTTCCTTTGTTTTATATTCATTGATTGTATTAGTTAAGTCATTGAAATTTTTTTAACTGGACAAATTACTCATTGTCCAAGAATAGATAAAAATTCAGGAGGATTACAGAAATGAATGTGTGTTGCCCCACCAAACAAATCAGATTTAAATTGACAAGAATGAAAGATTTATATGAAAGGCTGGAGAAATAGTAATAAAGACAATGTTTATGCACTTCTTGGTTTATCAATAATTTATTATTTATGAATATTTCCTGTCAGGTATGATGATTCCTCCTGGGCTCCTCAGCAGCTTCCCACCTGCTTCCTGCAGCTGGTGGCTGCGCTACAGGACCACGCTCGCAGAGGCTCGCTTCCTCACTTCTTTGTTCCTGAGAGCAACCTCTTCGCAACAGCCATGTTTCCTCGCAGAGCCCAGGAGTTCCTAGTCAAAGTCCTGGAGGAGCAGATGAAGGAAGGTCTGCCGCTGCTGAGGCCTCCGCCGCTTCTTCCTTCTCTGAAACCAGTTACCATCGGAACCACAATGAACCCAGAAGAACTTCCTGAAAAAGTTGAAAAAATCAGTGGGTTGAAAAAATCCCACCCACTGATTTCATTCGATTGGCTGAAGCTCGTCTTGGTGTTTGTTGTAGTTGTGGTCTTTGGCTTTTCAGTTTTTAACTAGGCCACTGGTGTCCAGAGTCAGTCATCAAGGGTCTCTATGCTGGTTCAACATTCCTGAATCTAATGATGGTTCATCAGCTGAACTTTATGACGTTCTGAGGAATGAGTCGGAGCATTTCAATCAGCAACAGAAAAAACATGTCAAATTAGCTGCATCTCCATTAATTATAAAATTTAGCAAATAGGAATTACGAAAATGAATTTGTTTAATGGAAACACGTCAATTTCGAAAAACCTGAAATGGGTTTTTGGTTGAGGTGGTTCCTGACCTCAACTAAGTATTGAAATTTGTATAATTCACAGAACTGAAGTTGAAATGCTTTTTTTTTGGATCACACGAGTCAGATGATCAACAACAGAATGTTACTACTGGTGGAAACGACAAAGAAGACAACAGGAAGTAGTGGGAGGATGACCTTTTAATAAATCTTTGTGTGAATAAACTTATTCACATATGATTTTAAATGTGTTTCTTATTTAGTGGAAACACCGCAACTGCGAAATACCAACAAAGTTTTAATCACATTTTTAATGGAAACGCAGCTAGTGGCAGAGGCCCTTGAGGACTGGAGCTCGTCACCCTTGAACTAGACCAAAACATGAATGAAGTAATAGAAATCGGGCAGAAATACAGAAAAAAATATTTCAAACTGTTCATTTAAATTTCTGTGTATTTTAGTCACTAATCAGATATAACATTATGATTATTGACAGGAGAGGTGAATAAGACGAATCATCTTGTGAAAAGGTTTTTCTCAAACTTGATGTTACAGGTAAAAGTTTTGGTCATAATAAAATGCCTGATTCCTGTTTGTGTTGCAACATTTCAGATCTCTGCAGATCTTAATGGAAGAAGGAGCAGCTTAGCCAGCGCTAGCCCCAAGTTTACATACAATTTCTTAATCAAAATGGGAATCCTGCATACAGATACACATACATGGATTTATAAACATGCACATATCCATGTGTGCATAGACACTAATAAATTAATGAATACACTATCAATTAGTATGTTATTCTATGGGTTTTTTTCAAATTCCAACCGACATAAATTTGCTTTTGGATAATTTCATTATTTATTTATGTCTGACAACCTCAAAACCTCAGAACAAAGAGCGGTTGCATCATGTGCAAAAATCTAAATAAAAAGGTTTTTGACTAATATGCAAAATAAAGATTGTGTCAGAAAATATTTAAAAGATTTTGTGATTGTATGTTTATTTTTAATTCAGAATAACATATTATTAAAAGAGGATTCCTTGGGAAACAAACAATTTTCTAAAAAATTAAATGTTAAATCTTTTTCAGATTGCAGCAAAATTATTTTTTGTCCTAATATATTTAACCTAAGAAGTCATTGTCATCTTTGTATTTCAGTGCTTTGTGACCTTCTGTAAGGATTAAAAACAGTAATATAATCATCATCACCTACTCATTAATCCTCATTTGCCACATCAGTTTTTCTTTTTCAAAATATTCGTCATATTTATTGCATTTATGCTCCTATTAACATATGAATGTTTTAAGGGATATCCTTTATCTTCAACTATAAATACAATACTGATATCTGGCAATTATTTTTATACTGAGCTTTAATAATAATAATAATATAACAATAATTTAATAGTATTAACAATAGTTCGCATCACATTTCACTATATTCAAGAATAAAATAATATATTAAAGCTATTGCTACGCATTGTAGGACTCTTAGAGAAATATAAGAAGAATATAAGTATAATTTTAAATAATATTTAGAAGAAAGGAGAGTGGTGTGGATTTAAATGATACTCTCTAAGCGGAACCCTCTTTTTATTTCTGGGGGGATCGATTGAAGGCGCACACTTCGCTATAAATCTGTCCCGCCGGAAACGTGTCGTCCTTTTCTACGCGATCCAACATGGCGGTGAGTGTAATGTCGCATTGAACTCACACAAAATTACTGTTTAAATCTACAATCATCGGGGTGTGAAAGCTGATTTATCGGCTATTAGCTGTTCAGACACACGGACCCAAAGATGAACTTTGTATCTCCCGCTGTATTTGTTGGATAAGCATCACAGATGTAGGTTAAATTAGCTAAGGAAACTGATGCTAACTGTCTAGCCGCTGAAAACTTTATTTCACTGATGGTAGTTCGGGTAAACATTCTGCTGAAGGTGTTGAAACGTGTCGCGTAGTTTCTCGACGGGATTCTGTTAATATTTGAGCTGTGAGTTCATTAAATTTCGGACAGATCTGTGATCTGTTTTGATGCTAATGCTACAGGGGAGATGTTCGGACATGTTCTGCAACCGGCGTGTGTCTGACAGCCAGCTCCACTGAGCTGTCTGTGTTAAAATGGGTTTTGTTAGCTGCACCTGGTTAGTTAGTGCTTTAACCTCGGTTAATTTGGGTTAGTTAGGTGTTTTAACTAGACATGACAGCAGCTGTCATGTTATTTAGCTGTCAGCAGCTAAATAATCGTGTGTGTTTTTCCCTGCAGGACCAGAGTGAGAAGAAGGAGAACCCCATGAGAGAGCTGCGCATCAGGAAGCTCTGCCTGAACATCTGCGTGGGCGAAAGCGGAGACAGACTGACCAGAGCCGCCAAGGTGTTGGAGCAGCTGACCGGACAGACTCCCGTCTTCTCTAAGGGTCAGTGTTTTGGTCCGGACGGCCGGTGGGACTGAATGTCTGAGGTGTGTTCTGATTTCTGGGTCCGTTCGTCTCTCCGCAGCCCGCTATACTGTGAGATCCTTTGGCATTCGCAGGAATGAAAAGATTGCTGTCCACTGCACTGTCCGTGGGGCCAAAGCAGAGGAGATCCTGGAGAAAGGGCTGAAGGTGAGGCTCTGTTTGGTGCTGTGGGGTCCAAACTCCTAAATTAAAAATAACAGAGCTTTACATTTCATTAAAAGTGCTGTATTTTCTGTTAAATTTAACATACAAAAAATAATTTGTCTTTCAACTGTGAGGGAAAATAGTTTTTTTTTCAGCCAGCTGATGGTGAGCATCAACATGTTGGGGAGAATCTGGTTGGTTTTAACTGCAGTATCTAACTCCACACCAGGTCTAGTTTAAATAGATCTATGTTTAAGTTTGTCCATGTTAAAACTATGAAATGACATTTGAGCCTTTTTGGGAACGACGGAGCAGCACTTTTTTGTAAATATGTGTAATTTGAGTGTAAATATTGTGGAAACAGTTTTAAAGGGCCAGTTTGTTGAAATCTCTCCTGATCTAAAGTTTATTTTGGACTTTGAATCTTTTTGTCTGATTTGGATCCTGATGCCATAATTTCTCCTTCTAGTCTTGTTGCATTTCACATAGATTGGACCATATGGCTTAAAATGTAGTCAAATTTATTCTTTTTTTTTTTGTCATAGCAGACCTGATTTCTGATTGTTTTTGTTTTTTGTTGTTTTGGTTTTTTTTATGAGAAATGGCGATAAATATTTTCAAAACGTGAGTTTTCTTTGTCATTCCTTCTGTGAGGTAAACAATGCAATTTTACTAGAAAATTAAATTGACAAGAAAAGCCTCGTTATAACAAGAGAAGCCGTCATCGGTTCAAAGTCCTGCTGATGATAATCTGATGTTGATGCGTTAAGATTGTCTGTAAAACTTTTATCAAAGTATAACTTAACAATCAACATTCTTTTAAATCAGGTATTTCTTGTACTTTAGTTCTCATGAAATAACTTTATTCTGGTAACATTCTAAACGTTCTCATATTATTGTGGCTCCTTACTGAATTCTTACAGTAACAACAACATGAACATGCAGAGAAAAAAACAGAAACTGTGACTGCTTGCCGTACGGTGATGTTCCGCTCCCCTCTGCTGCCTTCAGGTGCGCGAGTACGAGTTGAGGAAGAACAACTTCTCTGACACCGGGAACTTCGGCTTCGGCATCCAGGAGCACATCGACCTGGGCATCAAGTACGACCCCAGCATCGGCATCTACGGACTGGACTTCTACGTGGTGAGACTCACCAGCTCCACAAGTTTGATCAAACATGCAACTTTAATTTGTTCAGTCAGTGCAAGTAGAAGCATAACAGTCAGTGGAAAATAAATAATAAGAAAACCAACAGAAACAAAAGGTTGATTACTTTGGTAAAATAAACAACAAACATTTCAAACGGTTTTCACTGCAGAAACACAAGATCTAAGCATTTTTGTCCAGTTTTTATGGAAATATGTTGTTGCACTGAAATTAGACAAAACTAACTTACAAATAACTTGATCTAGGAATATGAGCTTCTTTTAAATATATAAACAGTTTTAGTTCTGTGGCTGATTATTTTACCGTACTTTCCGGACTATTAGCCGCACCTGAATATAAGCCGCAGAAGCTAAATTGCATGATTTGTACATATACAAGCCGCACCGGACTATAAGCCGCAGGTTTTTTATGTTTCGTAATTACCATATGGTTCGTGCACAGAGGGGATTGTTGGGAAAGAGGCAACTGTTTGGGGAATCTCCTATTTATTAACATTTCAACACAAATTGCATATTTGCATACGTTAACTGTTACAATTTAGTGCAATAGTAGCTCCCATTTATAAACATTTGAAGAAACAAGTTGCATATTTGCCTAACGTTTTCAACCATTTAGTGCAATAGTAGCTACAGAAGCTAGAGAACATATAAAGCTACAACAACAAATAAAGTGCCTGTGACACGACAGTAAGTCTAAATTGCAGTAACACGGCTGCTTAAAATATACGGTTATCAGCCTACCAGAAAAGTTATTACCATAACCCTCCTCTTCATCTTTGGTGAAGTAAACGGCTGTAACCAGAAAAGTCAAGTCATTAATCCTCATCTTCGTCTTCTTCCTCCGTACTAACACCACAAAAGTCCTCATCTTCAGTGTCGGAAACAAACAGGTTCAGGGCTTCGTCAGTCACTCTCCCCTCTCTTTCGATGTCGCTCTCAAAACCAACGAACTCCTTTTCGTCACTGTCGGAATCGAACAGCCTCTGAAAGGCCTGAGGTGTGGCGGCGTCCTCCTGTCAATCATGCAGCAGTCCAGCCTTTCTGAACCCGTTGGTGATTGTGAATTTTTTTACACTCCTCCACGCCATCAGGATCCACTCGCAAACTTGTGTGAGTGGATAATGAGGGTATCTCACAAACTGTCTTGTGCTCGCAATGTCCGTCTTTCTCGCTGTCGTTCTGTCTCGTACCACTCGCGTAGAAGTCTGCTTCCGGAGGACCTCCGCGTTCCCGTGCTCACGGCTACTTGTGTGTTGAAGCAAATGTGACGTCAACATGGTGGATGGTAAAATCCATAGATTTTATGGCAAGCCGTTTTAACATAAATTTGGTTTTGCCGCCCTTACATTCCAGATATCTCAAATTGTTTTATGACTAGACATTTTAGCAATTTAAGATATCTCTAATTATATTTTGACTAGACAAAATACCTATTTGAGATATCTCTAATTACATTCTGACTAGTCAAAATGTAATTGGAGATATCTTGAATTATTATTCTTACTAGTCAGAATATAAGTGCAGATATCTTAAATTACCATTCCGGATAGTCAAAATGTAGTTTTGTCTAGTCAAAATGCATTTTCAGATATCTAGAATATAATTACGGATAGTCAGACGGAACCAAATTTATGTTAAAATGGCTTGCCATAGAGATTAGGTATCCCCCTAGTGGCCGTTAGCTGTAAAAATCCATAGATAAGCCGCACTGCTATATAAGCCGCAGGGTCGAAAAAATGGGGAAAAAGTCGCGGCTTATAGTCCGAAAATTACGGTACTTATAACCTGGAAATGAAACGATCAGCCTGTGGAACTGCAACGGTTTGTTTTGT